TTTACTATTTAAAATTATTCAATATTTAATTATTGATGATTTTGCATGTAAAATTTACTATAGAAGTTAATATATATTTAACAATAATAATTAGTTAAATACGATTCAACTATTAATTGATCCAACTGCTATATATGTATCATTAAAAAGTCAGTAGCAATTAACCTACAAAATTATGCCAATTTTAATTTTTATTATTTTATTTTGGTCATTTTTGGGTTAGATTGGACGTTTTAACGCATCTTTGTAACCATTTTAGAGTAGACCACAGATGGAATTTAATGTTTCCAATTAGACATTAGACAATAAAGCCAAAGTTTAATTGCCGTCCAAACAGAATATCTCACGTCAAATTATTCCAGGTGATATAGAAAAAATAAAATAAAATAGTAAAACATAAAATTATAAATTAATAATTAAAAATATACAAGTGGATGAATAGTGAATGTTATTAAAAAAATATGTGGTAATAATTTTTTTATTATTATAAAATAGTGTGGATAAGATTGAAAAGGGCAAAAAAAAAAAAAATAATTACAATGTCACTTAATTTGTTTAGCAGCTGGCATCACGTACGGGGAAAATCGACTCATTGGTTAGCTATTCTATTGTAGTCAAATTATATATCTTTACTTATATATAATTGGGGACCTTTTATTATATACTAATAATCAATAATTAAATGGTGAATATTTAATTAGCAACATGTACAAGTGGAAAAATAAAATATTTCATTTTGATTTAGTCATGCAATGATGTTAATACGATAATAATAAGAAAAATATATAAAATAGAGAACCAATTATTCCATTAATGGGAAAGAGCATTATATGATATATCAGCATATATAGATTATGGTATTTTTATAAGGTGCATTGCATCTTGCATGCAAGTTGGAGAGGGGTCTATCGTTCCGAAAAAAAAAATATTATATATAATATATTTTGCAAAAGAAGATATTTAACTAGGGAATTAACTGAAATAATCGACGAAATATAAATTTCGATACAAAAGTTGTAGTTAACGGTTTTTATTTTTAAAATTTCGGGTTATTTCAATTTGATTTTGGAGTTATTTTAAAGTATCATAGTTAATTCAACCGGCAGAAACATATTTATTTTTATTTAAAAAAATATATAAAATATTTTAATAAAAAATAAAGAACAAGATATATTTATTTATATTAAAAATTAATTATAATATATTTATGTTAATCGGCCGAAATAAAAGGTTATTCCGATTTGGTTTTAAGTTCAGTTGTTGATAAAAGTTTGGCTCACATTTTTTTTTTTTTTTTT